GGACCATATGGGATGCTGGGAATCGAACTGGGTTGGCCGCGTGCAAGGCAAATGCCCTACCCACTGTGCTATCTCTCCAGCCCCAGGTAAAGAACTCTTGCTGAGTTACACAAGCTAAAGGCATATCTGTGTGAATTCTGATACACTGCAGTGGGCTAGTAGGTCACCTCATAGACCCTACTTCCTCCCATTCCCCCCACCCCCACGTCCTTTGCTCTTTGTCATTCTCCCATTAGAAGTAGAGGGAACTTCCTACTTAATATGGTGGACTCAATCATGTGACTTGTTTGGCCAACGAGATGTGGGATGAGGGCCCAGATAGATAGCACAAGAGGTAAGGTTCTTGTTTTGCCTGTGGCCCACAGGGTTCGGTCCCTGGCACCTCATATGGTTCCCTGAGTCCCAGAAGTGATTCCTGAGTGAGGATCCAAGAGTAAGTTCTGAGCACTGGTGGACTTGGTGAGTGAGAAGAGACAGAGACAGAGACAGTGAGGCAGAGAGAGACACAGAGAGAGAGAAGGAGGGGAAGAGGGAGGGAGAGAGAAGAAAGGGAGAGAGAGGGAGGAAGGGAGGAAGATGGTGAGAGGGCACCACCTCTAAATCTAGACCTGAAGAGGTTTGTGTTTCTGCTGGCTCTTCTATGCCGCTGTCTTCCCCAGGAAGCAAGTTGTAGCAGCCATTCATTCCAACCACAGTGAGGTGTTGAACCCAGCTGAACCTTCACCTGAAATAGCTGTCTGGCTGAGCCCAAATTTGCCTGTCAACCTTCAACCAATCTGTAGGTGCCTGAGCAAAACACCAATCATTGCAACCTACCAAATCTCAGTGGAACTCTTTATGCAGCAATGACTGGCATGGTTACTTCTGACTGGTTCCGTTACTGTTTTAGAAAGCTCAGGTCTAATCTCACTTAAGTTCTCTCCTCCTTCTTAGAGAAAATCCACCTTGGTTTCTACTCACACAAAGTCAGAGTGCTGTTTTTTTTCCTTCTCTGAGCAACTCCAAGAATATTTTTTAATTAATTGTCAATTTGACATGCACATAAATGATCTTTATTTATCATAAATGAGGATAAACTTTTTCAAAGATGTAGTAGAGGCCAATAACCTCTCTTTTGTGAAAAGCTTTATTATCCTAGGACTTATTCAGCTATGATTACCCAACCACAAAGGGAAATTGGAATGTTTCAAGGAGGGAACTCTTTGATTTATGATTATCTGCCCAACCTCACAGATCCAGTACTACCCTACAGGGTGATTGCTGTCTGTGAACAGGGATAATAACAGGTTCTGTGCAGTGACAGTATCTACTTCCTAATTTGCTGCCTTGGCCCAGCATGGTTCAAATGAGCTGGAAGACCTGGAGAGGGATCCTGAGCAAAGAGCGCCACCGTTAATCCAGACCAGGCAATATTTTATTTTCATCTGCCTTGTCATTATTTCTACTTTACAGGTGAAGAAACAAAACTTAGCAAGTTCTATGGCTTCCCCAGGCCACACAATTGGCCACCAGTCTAGGATGTATATCCGACCCTATTCTCACTTTCTCTTTTCGGCAGACCATCTCTAGCAGCCATGGAGGTGCTGCTGGTCATGAGAGAGAATCAGGATTCACCTGAGATTCTACTTCCAGGACAAGGCTATGCACTGCTGGGACAAGCCTGGCCAGGGCCTGGCTTAGGAGACTGAGGTTTGACTGTTCTGCCCAATGTGGGACTCCTCAGAGAGGCTATTTTCACTCTGATCTGCCAGTAGCACTGACCAAGAGACTTGGCCTGCGCGTCATGGGAGGGCCTCTCCTGTCCAGTGCTGTGCCCCCCCACTCTGCCCCCCATTGTTACTTAGCTTCTTACACAGTGGGATGCAATCCCATGCATACCTAAATATGAGGGTTATGGAAAATCTGCTTGAAAATAAATTTATAATTTATTACCCATAGATATTTGATTTGTATACCTATGTTGAACACCTATCCAGGACAGAAGAGGTTTCGAGAGAAAGTATTTAAGAAACTCTGGATAGAAGACTCAGAAACATTCCACCTGGGTCCAGGGCAGCTGACTCTGGTGCCAAGGGGCCTAGAGAAAATTGTCTCCACCTGTGCCATGGGGCAGTACATACCAGGAAGGAGTGAGCTTCGAAGGATCTTGGAGGATCATGAGAACTGACATCGAATATTTGCCATGCACCAGGTACCCTTTGAAAGACTTTCATTTTATTAATCGTTCCAGCCAATCCTTGTAAGAAGTCTGAGAGGGCAGACACTACCTTATTTTGCAAGGGAAGAAACCAAGGACTAAGAGGCTAATCAACCCAACCGTCCTGTTACAATGGTGGTACCAGGACCTGAGTCAGCCACTTAGGGTCCAGAAGCTTCTCTCTACACGCTGTGTCTGGGAGGTGTGTGCTGGACTTGCCTTGAGTGGAGGAGCCCAGGGTCAGGATGGGGGTGATGCTTGGGGTATCCTTGAAAATCTTGCAGTCTGCCCTGTCCAGCACTGCCAGCTCAGTGCTGACATCTGCCCTGCAGACCACAGCCACTCACCACTTTTTCTCCCAGAAGAAAAAGTAGGAGGTAGAAGAATAGTTTTAAGTGGACAGTGCAGCTGTGGCACACAAGGCCAACCGGTCATGCCCAACAGTGGTTCCAGCATACCGCCATCTCCACCCAGCTCTTGTCTCGAAGCTCAAGATGCTGTCATGCCAACTGTACCCATTCCTCCGCCCACCCCGTGCCACAGAACCAGATGCTGACATCCTTGGCCACAGACCATGGGTCCTGCTGGATGGGGAGTTTTCTTTGGCTTGGCCAAGCCCTGGAATGCGTCGGGGGAGAATCCTGGCATCAGTAAGAGCAGAAACCACTCACTTTCCCTCTTAATCCCACCTATGTCAGGCAGATCTGGCTAGACCCCCCTAACCTTGGGCCCCCTGGACTCAGGCACCACCCCCCAATACCCCTAGTCTCAGATTCTCCTGGCCTCTGCCCAGCTCCATTCCCTGGGAAGTGAGTTTCACCAGCAGGTTATTGCTGTAGAACAAACCACCTCTGAACCTCCTGGTTCTAGCCAAAACCAGCTATGATTGCTCCTGAGTTTATAGGTGGGGTCGGGAAGGCCAGATCACTCCGTGGGTCTCATGAACGCGAGTGTGGCCACAGGCCAGCTCACGGAGGCAGCCTGGGAAGCTGCATCTCCAACCACATCCTCACCCTTCCTCCAGCCCACTAGCCACAGCTAGTTTGCAGGACTAGGTTGGAATTCCAAGGGAGAGAGGGGAGAGCATGTTGCTTCTGGCTTCTGATAAGAATTGCTGCTGATGAAAAGTCACCTTGCAAAGGTGTTGCATACGACGTCTTCTGCGGCTCAAAGTCCTCACTTAAAAGAATAATGTCTGTCTTGGGAGGCACGCCAGACTCTGGTGTTCTGGATGGGTCATTTCGCTGAGGCCACAAGGGGGCCCACAGGGGAAGCGTGAGGAAATCAACGGATGCTGAAAAACCACAGGCGCTCAGGAAAGTGCCAAGGGAACTAGCCCAGCCAAAGAGGAAGGGAGGGGAGTATTGCCATTTTGATCACGCTAATCCTCCCTATCCATGATCAGGGGATGTGTCTCATTTCCTAGTGTCCTCTTTTATTTCTTGAAGTAGGGTTTTGTAACTTTCCTTCACCTCTTTGGTAAAGCTGATTCTGAGGCACTTGATTTTCTGGGGTACTATTGTGAACGAGATTGTTTTTTAATGTCTCTTTCTTCTCTTTCATTATATGGATACAAGAAGGCCATGACTTTTGGGTGTTGATTTTGTAGCCTGCCACTTTACTAGACAGACCTATTGTTTCTAGGAGCTTTTCTGTAGAGTCTTTAGGGTTTTCTAAATATTGTATCCTATCGTCTGCAAATAGTGATAACTTGACACCCAAGAACCGTAGGCACAAGGGCCAGGAAGATTGCTCCATAGTTTGAAGCCTGCCTCATGAGCTGGGGAAGAAGGCAGCTGGAATAGAGAAGGGATCACCAAGAAAATGATGGTTAGAAGGATCGGTCGGGATGTGAGATGTGTGCTGAAAGCAGATAAAGGACCAAAAGTGATGGCCTCTTGGTATCTGTGTTGCAAACCATAATGCCCAAAAGTAGAGAGAGAGAGTATATGAGAAATTGTCTGCCATGAAGTTAAGGGGAGGGTGGGAAAGGAGGGGTGATGGGTGGTGGAGAATGTGCACTGGTGGAGGGATGGGTGTTTGAACATTGTATGACTGTAACTCAAACATGAAAGTTCCTAACTGTATCTCACGGCGACTCAATAAAATAAAATTTAAAAAAAAGAGGAAGGGAGGGAGACAGAGAGGAGTGGGGGGGGAGAGATCCTGGGCTTTGTGGAGGGGGGCAGTATCAGGATGGGGTACATGAGCAAAAGATGAGCAGGGATTTTTCACTGGTGCATTTGCCTATCACTAGAGGGGCTTTGTGATGGGGGTAACTGTCACTTGCACTGGGCACTCGCTCATAGCTCGTTCACAGGGATGATGAAGCAGCCAGCTGATTTGAATCTTTATAGACACACACCTGGGAAAACTAATCCTCACCATTTCGCTTATAAAGTTAATCTTATAAAACGGAATCTACGGAGGACTAGATTTGGAGAAAGCCAGTCTGTCCTAGCTGAGGAACTGGGTGTAGAACCCAATTCCTATTTACCATGCAACCTGGCACCAGCTGCAGGCCAACCTCATCACTGGCCAGTGAGCGGGTCTGTTGGGAGAGTTCCCTGGAGTGAGGCCCTGAAGCTAAGGGCATCACTTGGTTCCCACCCTGGCTTGGCTGAACCTTGTGCAATGGATCCGAACTCCTGGGACCACCCCCTTCCCCCCAGTTCTAAGTTGAGCTGCTACTGTCGTTGTGTGCCTGGGTCTGGGAGGACTTGTTACAGCGTGAGTTGCCCACTGTGGGGGTTGGGGCAGGGCGGGACATAGCAGTAAGAACAGGGAGGCGCAAACTCAAGGGTTCAGCCCCAGCCAAGGGCTGTGCAGTGTGTAGAGCTTTATTAGTGATCTTCACCCTGAGGCTCGGCCGCTCGTGGGACACCTCGCTCAGCACTGGCTTCCCCAGAGCAAGCTGAGTGTCGACGTTCACAGATCCTGGAAGGCTGCTAGGGTCAGCTGCAGGTCACACCGGCATCCTCGCTGTGCTGGCAGTTGTGAGTGCCCCAGTTACTCTTCCTGCAGTCCCACAGGCTGGCCTCGGACCCCCTGCAGGCCACATTATCCAGCCAGATCTGCCCGGTGCCTAGAGAGAGAAGGTAATGGGGGGGCAGGGGGAGAGAGGGGAGTGGGATGGGGGCGAATCCACACTCAGTCCTGAACCGCCACGTGGGGCAGATGCCAGTTGCTCTGGCTTCTAATCAGCCCCGGAGCTGATTAGACTATTCTAATAGTCTGAACAGCTGGACTGTTCTTTAGAATGATTTTGTTTCCGTTCTGCTTTCTACCCTTTGACAAAAGTCTCCTCCAAGTATTTAATACTTGATCCACGCACAATTTGAACTCTCCCCGGGGACTCCCTGCGCTCATCTGTACCCTGCTAATTCGTGACGGCCTTATCTGTCTTCCTCAGGAGCCAGTTTAGCCCAGCTCTAGCCCAGCTCTGAGGACTCATGAGTTCCTCAAGCATCCACTTCCTTCTAAGAAACCTCACTGCAGAGGAAGAGCTCAGAGCAAAAGAGCTGCATGACTCACTCAATGACCAAGTTTCACTGCAGGGTGACGATCTACAGAGACCGAACCTATACCAGGACAGTGCGTATTTTAAAGGGATTTTACGATCCAACAGAACTGATTTAAAAAGCAGGGCTGGAGGGTTGGAGCACTCATACATACAGGGACTAAGGCTTTTTATTTGCATCCCATTGACACTGGTTTGAATCCCCAGCATCACCCAGGATCCCTGAACATAAACTGGGGTCACTCCTAAGCATAGGAGCAGGAATTACCCATGAGTACTGCAAGTGTGGCCCACACTTCAATAATATTAATTAATTAGAAATAGGGGCAGAGTAAAGGCTGAGAGCACTGGGGAGAAAATAAGCAACAGAAGCCACTTCATCTTCCCATCAGGGGAGTCCTTATGGTCAAAGAAATGGTACCAGCCGACGGATTTAATCACTCTGTTCAAAGTTCGGGCCGTCAGTTGATAGACATCGGCCCAATCTCTAGCTACTCCAGAGAGCTTTCCCAGCAGGTTTGAGGCAGTCCTTGATCTGATTTGTTTTTCCTTCCTTCTGCACTTTCTCCTTAAAGATGATCAGGAGTTGAGCAGTCCAGACTTCTAGTCTCCTGAGGTGGGACAGAACCCCCACTGGCCTGCCCTGCATCTTCTCTATTCTTTTGGGACCAATCCCGCCCTTCGAGAGCTGCATCTCACGTACACGCACAGGCTCCAGGGCCAGACAGACACTGAGCCCCGTCAGCTGATCCACTGCCAAGATTTGGCTGCAGCAGTTCAGAGGAGAAAGTGCCTACTTCCTGGGGCTGCCAAGCTGGAGGCATATCAACCAGGCCCCGAGCTGCTTAACTTCTCATTGTCGGGAAGCCATCCTGGACTTCCTCAGCTAAGCCACTTGCAAGCAATGAACACCAACAGCCCATGAGGGAAAGAATCCCCACTCAAGCCACTCCAGGAAGATGACTCACCACCTCCAAAATTGACAATGGCTCTTCCTGAGGCAAAACCCAGCATGCGGCAAAAGACAGTGGCATCATCGTTGTCCCAGTCATCGTCACAAATGGTCCCCCAGACGTTATTATAAAAGACCTCAGCTCTGCCTCGGGAGGTAGTGCCAACAATTCTGACAAGTGATGAGGTTGTGACTGGGGAGAAACACACGCAATTGAGGTGAAGACAGAACTGAGGGCTTGTGTGCAGAAGGCAGGCTCTGTCTTGTGATTTAGGGAAGTTCTGTAGCTAAGAAAAGATACCTGTGTGACCAAAAGTCAACTTTGGCACCTGGCCCATGGTCATGACGCCTTTCTGGTTGACATTGTAAATTATCTGACTGTTTCTTGTCTTGTGTTGTGGAGGAAAGGAAAAGAAAAGAAGAATGGAAGGATAATTGGTGGAGAAAGAAGGAAGGAAGGAAGGAAGGAAGGAAGGAAGGAAGGAAGGAAGGAAGGAAGAGAGGAAGGAAAGGGAGGGAGGGAATAAGAAAGGGGGTAATAATAAGGGAAAACTTGGGTGATCCCCATATATAATAGACAGGCTTGGTTGGAGAATGGGTTCTTATTTTTAGCCAAAGTGAGGAATTTCTCCAAGACCTAAGCCCCGCCCCCAACCACATTCACAATTTTCAAGTATAGTATTGAAGGACACGGATTAAAGAGAATAGAAATAGCATTTACCTCGTTGGCCTTTTTCTCCAGGTTCTCCTATTGTGGGGGGGGGGGGGGTGGAAATCACAGAATTAAAAAAACAAAACAGCTAGGATTCCATCCCCAAGCCTACCCCAGCACTCCCGGCAGTGGAACGTGGTCAGGGGTCAGGGAGGGGTCAGGTCCTTTTTCTGACTTTGCCAGTGGCCTGACCTTATGAGCACTGGCTGTCCCATGGGCAGCAAGAAAGGGGCTAAACCACAGCAGCGAGGAGTCAGGCCGGACAAGGGAGGCACGTTTAATAGGCAAGAGACCTGGAGTGGGACAGAATGTTCTGGGCGGCCATGGAGGCTGTCTGGGGAAGCCAGGGTGTGGCGCCCCTGACTGGACCTTTATGTCTCCACACTCAGTGCCCAGGGCAGTGCCAGCACAGAACTTGTCTGCGTAGTCCACAACTCTCTTCTCTCCCTTACAAGAAGGCCGATGTGGGGGACACACAAACCAGAAACACAGGTCTTACCTTTCATGCCTTGTGCTCCCTTTTGGCCAGCTGGTCCAGAAGCACCCTTGGGACCTGCTGGCCCGGGGGTTCCCTTCTCTCCCTTTGCGCCTGAGGGGCCTGGAGAGGAGAGAGACTGCTGCCCTTAGGGGCTCCACTAGTTCCCCCAAACTGACAGTCTTGGCTTTCCAGGAATGAGTTGTTCCTAAACTCTCAATTTTTCCCTGTGAGTGCATATTTGAAGGGTCAGCCTGGGCCTCAGGTCCAGGTAGGGTGGGAGGCATGGGGGCATGAGGGTATGGAGGGACAGGGTACCAGTCTGGACTCCTGAGTCCTGTGTCAAAGTTGGGTAAAAGTATGGTGAATGTGACTGACAGGATGTCTGAGGCTCCCGGCTGCCATCAGATTATGTTGATGTTCCAGTTAATCTGGGAGAAGTTGCTAGACTACTTCTAGGCTTTGTTTTTTCTTTCAGTAACTTAGAAAGAGGCTATCCAGTTCACAGATAGCCTGCCTTACTTCCTTCCTTCCTTTCTTCTTTCTTTCTTCCTTCCTTCCTTCCTTCCTTCCTTCCTTCCTTCCTTCCTTCCTTCCTTCCTTCCTTCCTTCCTTCCTTCCTTCCTGGTGGGGCTCAGAGGACCATATGGGGAGCTGAGGATGGGACCTGGGCTGACTAAGTGCAAGGCAAGCATCTTACCCACTGTACTTTCTCTCTAGCCCAGAAAAACTATTTCAAGAAATGTCTAAGCCATAGAAACAGTGAGCAGAAGAACTGATCCTTAGTTGGTATCTTGTGAATGGGCAGGGGGTGGGTCAGGGAAGGGACCACTATGACATTGAGAGAGGGAAGTGGTCACTCTGGACCAGGACTGGGTGCTGAAAGGCTGTAGAGTGATATGCATGATAACCTATCAGAAATGGTATTATAAACTACAGTGCCTGAAAGGACACCAAAATAAAGGAATTTTTTTAAAGTGCCTGCCATAGAGGCAGGCTGATGGGGAAGGGGGGAAAGTGGGTATGGTGATGGAGGGAAGTGAACACTGGTGAAGGGATAGATGTTGGAACATTGTACGTCTGAAACAATCATGCACAGCTTTATAATTTATGGTGATTCGATAAAAAAAACATTTAAAAAAATAAAAATGGACCAGGGCAGACAAACAGCACAGAGAGAACCATGCAGTCAGCAGAGGGACCAACCCCAGCCACTGCCCAGCCCAAGGTCACAAACTAACCACAGTTCTTGTGATGTTTTTCACCCTGTGACACCCTCAGGTCTCACCATCTCCTTCCATCTCCTTAGGACACCAAGTTCTGGTCCAGGATAAGAATCTGAGGTTTAAGTGTCAGAGCCCTGATGTGTTTGCCTCCAGGAGGCTGGCCCGGGGTCCACCCATGGGGGATGGTCACAGTTGTGCCTTCAAAGTCCACCAAACCCACCCTCCAAGGTTTTGGCTTTTCCAGGAATCCTTGCGAAAAATTAAACTGGAGCCGGCCCTTTACCTGGAATTCCAGCTTCTCCTTTTGTTCCTTTCTGTCCTTGAAGTCCTAAGACCAGAATACAGAAAAAGGGGGAGAAGATAATAAAACTTAGATATTAGACACTTTTAATCTTAGGCAACCTCTCCCTTTTGTCTGATTAATGCAGATGGAAAGATACATTGGTTCTCTGCAATCATTCATAGCCTCTTTAGCGGACTGTAAAAAGAGACAGGCTGCAGATAAATGGGGACACGGGTGTTGGGGCGAAGAGAAATGCGTTGACTAAGATGCCCAAGTTAGAGAGACCCTGACTCACTTCCTGGCCCAGGAGCAGCCTTGCGGTCTGAATGCAAGCCCTTTCTTTGCTCTTGTATTTTGCAGGAAAACCGTTGAAAGCTTTATGGGAAAGAATTCTTTTTTCTTTACAAAAGACTGTGATGGATGAAGGCTGGTAAGGGGCCACCAGTAGTTTGGGGGTCCTCACCTACAGTTGCTGTTCCATAAAATTTGTTGGTTTATTTCATTGTGGCTGAAGAGTTTTAAGTTGAGAAAATGAAAGCACAATCACTGCCATTATGATCTTATTTGATGGTGCCATGAACTAAGAGCAGCTACTTGGAGAGATGCTGAATGCTTTATCCAAGGTCTCGCGGAGTGATGCAGTGAGGCTGCTATCCCACTGTAACCTCTCGCTCAACCTGGAACCCCTCTATTCCCTCCCAGTATGCCAACACACTCCTTTCTGGACTTACACTTGGACTATTTGCAGGCCGCCCAAAGCTCCTCCCAGCACACCATCCTCCATTCCTTCCCTGAGCTGTCAGACTGGAACTTGCATCACAATAACCACACAGGACTTGTTGGAAACCATTCTCTAGGTCGGGTGGATTTGGGATGGGTCTCTGAGTCTCTGCATTTATAACAAGGTGCCAGGCGACTCTGCTGTTGCTGGACCACAAACCACATTTTGTTGGACCACAAAGTCACCCTGTCCTAAACTCATCTCCTCTGTTCTCTGGGGAGCGCGCACAGTCCACCACCCAACTGTTTCTTGTCTCAGAGGAACTCCCAGGCCCTCCCAGCTCTCACATCAGTGCTCTCCCAGAGCTGCAAGATCTTCATAAAAAACCCTTTGAAAGCCTGCTTCAGGAGCAGGGGGAGGAGGCAGTTGGGACAGAGAAGGAACCAATGTGGCAATGATAGTTAGGAATGATCACTCTGGATAAGAACTGTGTGCTGAAAATAAGTGAAGGAACAAACATGATAACCTCTCAGTATCTGTATTGCAGACCATAATGCCCAAAAGGAGAGAGAGAGAGAGAGAGAGAGAGAGAGAGAGAGAGAGAGAGAAAGAGAGAGAGAGAGGAAAGGTGCCTGCCATAGAGATAAGGTGGGGTGGGGTTGGGGTGTGGCCGAAGAGAAGAGAAATTGGGGGCAATGGTGGTGAGAAATGTATACTGGTGGAAGGATGGATATTGGAATATTATATGGTTGAAACCCGATCATGAATAGCTTTGTCACTGTGATTCACTCACAATGATTCAATTAAACAAACAAACAACAAAAAAAAAAAACAAAAAAATACCCCTATGGTGTGTTTATATAGACTGGCTATAGGTTTTATTATCAAAATACCTCTCTTCAAAGAGACAAAATTGGAACTGAGTGTTGTGTGATGTGTCTCAAAGCCTCACTGGGCTCTAAGTAGAAGCTCACTTAAGTTGCTGCGCTCTGATCGGCTGATGGAGGAACAAGTAATTACTTCTCCATAGATCACTGGAGCAGGGGGAGGGAGGAACAGCTGAAGAGTAGACTTCATAAGCCTACGTTGTAAAACAGCGCTGGAAAGCAAACTGTGTTTACATGGTCATCACTTATCAATCCGAGAGGGCACGGTGTATTTACTTACAAGGTGCTTATTTAGAGAAATGATCTTCTCTCAAGAAAGGGATTTAGCATCATTCAGAAGGACATATGCACACCGTTATTTGCTGCAGCACTTAGCACAATAACTAGACTATGCAATCAACCTAGGTGTCCAACAACAGATGAGTGAATTATGAAGATGTGGCATATGTGCACAATGGAATCCACTGCAGCTGCAAGGAGGGATGAAATCATGCAATTTTTTTTCAAGTTGGGTGGAACTGGAGTATATCACGTTAAGTGTAGTAAGTCAGAAGAAGAAAGACAAACACAGGATGATCCCACATATCTGTGGTATTTAGAATAACTGGACAAAGGACTATGAGGGGGATACAAGGATCATCCTTCACTCTAGAGTATAGAAAGAGAAGACCAGGAATTAAAGAAATTCAGGGGGAAGTAAAAAGAAAAAAAAGGGAAGTAATGGGGAAGGGAGCAACAGGTCTCAGTCACATCAGTACTATAGAAGTGGGGTGTGTGTGTGTGTGTGTGTGTTTACGCAATAAATCACACAGAGAATAATACTGTAAACAGGAGGTATGAATAACAATAACTAAGCTTAAAAATAAGCTTTTCAGGGGCAGGAGTGATAGTACAGCGGATAGGGCGTTTGCCTTGCACGCGGCCAACCCTGGATTGAATCCCAGCATCCCTTATGGCTGAGCACTGCCAGGAATAATTCCTGAGTGCAAAGCCAGGAGTAGCCCCTATGCATTTCAGGGTGTGACCCAAAAAGAAAAAAAATGCCTTCCAAGGAGATGGATCGGAGGGTTGGAGGGAGTTACCAATCTCACACTGACAGGATTGTATACATAAAAATTCAACTGTGAATAGCTTTGTAAACCACGTTACCTTCATTAAATAGAATAAATGTGGATGAAGGTCTGGAAAGAGGACACCTGATATGCTGATAGGGCATTGCCCTGCATGCAGCTGACCCGATTTGATCTCCAGCATCCCCTATAGTCTCCTGAGCCTGCCAGGAGTAAGTACAGAGCTAGGAATAACCCTGAGCATTGCTGGAGGTGGCCTCCAAAAAAACAAAAAATGTGAATGAAAACAAAGGAAAAAAAGGAGTTTAGATAGAGAACACACACCTGTCTCTTCTTTAATGCTCAGCTGAAAACCTATAGTGTTTCTGATCCCAGAAAAAAAGTCATATTTTCAACTGATTGCAAATTGAGAGAATCCTGGGCTTATAGATTCCCATTCTACAGAGGAAGAGGTTGAGTCCAGTGACCTCAGTATCTACATTCTGTCGGCTAGTGAGACGGGGTCATTGACAAATTGAGGCGAAGGGCCTACATTAAATATTTCTGATTTAATGTAGAAATTTCCAAGAAATAGTCTTAAATGCCATTCTATCTTAAAGCTAAGTGTGACCTGGGAAATTTAGAATTAATCATAACAATTTAGGCAAACTAAGCTGTGTGGCAAATTTTGGGAAGTTCAAAATTCTGGGCCTAAGCAGACTTCTGAGGTATCTCCAAGAAAATTTTTATCTTGAAGGAAAATGAGGAGACATTTTATAAGTGGCAATTTAGTAATATGATTTTGTAGAGTTTAATAAATTCTTGGGCTTACCTCAGTACTCAGATATAGGAAATGGAATTAACTAAAATATTACACATACGTTCTAGGACTTACTACTATGGATTATTTTTGTTGCTGTTGCTTATTTTTAAGATAAAAAAAACCTCCAAAATACATATGAGAAAATGGGTTCTAAGTTATTTTTACTTTGGTTTTGCCTTGAAAGTAAAAGAACATAGAAAAGTCACATTCTCATTATATTTTAGACAGTAAGGATGTCGAGATGCAGAATTTCTGATGAGATTGGTTTTGGAGAAGTTAAATTTGGGTTGCTTCTAAAATCATTTCAGGAGGTGAAAATGACAAAAAGGAATGCCATGATTACAGGTTGAAGCCAGTCATCCTCATTTCCAGACAAACTATTTTTCAAGATGGCTAAGAAACTTAGAATTAAAGTGAACTCTGTTTTGTTATAGCATTTTTTCTTCACTTTTTGCTGTTTCTTTTTTTTTTGGCAAAAACATTTTTTCTTTTGCACAATCAAGTGATTTTATAATTATTTTAAAGATCAAACGTTGAGAAAAATGAAATTTGGGGTCGTCAACACCTTGCTTTGTGATAGTAAAGGAAATTGTTGTTAGAAAAATTTCTGCTGGGGTCTGAGCAGTAGTACAGTGGGTGGGGCATTTGCCTTGCACGCAGCCAACCTGGATTCAATTCCCAGCATCCCATATGGTCCCCCAAGAACCATCAGGACTAATTCTTGAGTGCAGAGCCAGGAGTGATCACTGAGCTTCACTGGGTGTGACCCAAAAAGCAAAAAAAAAAAAATTCTGCTGGGTGGTAATGCCCAACTGAGTGGATTGTGCCATTTATCTTCCGGAATGGAGTGAGTTTCCTTTTGCCATCTTTGATTCTCTCTTGACCTGGGGAAACACTCCTCTGGAACAGGTTGTAGCTTAATTAGTGGTTCTTGACCACAGGCACACTGAGCCACTGAGCCATGATTTAACTATTTACAGTTGGGTTGGTTAAGACGGGACTGAGGGAGATTCTAGTTTTTCTTAAGCTCTTTACCCTATGTTATTCTATACAGTGACTTCTGGAAAAGTTCAACTTTAGAACCACAGTAAATTCTTGGATTCAGTGAACGTTAACAGGGAGGCTAGGTGGAAAGAGTTTACTTACCTCCAAGAACCTTTGCCTCCTTGCCTGTAGGGCAGGGATAATGAAATTCAGGTGCATGGTAAATAAATGGAATTTATGGGAGGAAAATCTCCAGCACAGTGCCTGGCCCAGAGGCATCATTGAAAACCTCTGAGCGTTTTTGTTCTTATTATTTTGGTTGTTGTTTTGAGGCCAGAGTTGGTCAGTGCTTGGGAGCTACTCCTGGCTCTGTGTTTAGGAATCATTCCTGACATTGCTCAGAGGGACCATTTGATGAGCATATCCCACATGGAGGACAAAGCGTCCCCTCTAGCCTTTTGGGCCATCTCCCAGTTCCAGACTTTTAACTTTGTATAATTAATGTGCAGTAATGGAATCTAGCTTTTACCTAGGTCAAGCCATTGTACTCTCTCAGTTTTGATCCAAAGTACTAGATATTCTTTTATTATCTTTTCTTCATTTTGGTTTCTGTGCCACACCCAACAGTCTTCATGGTTTAGTCCTGGCTCAGTGCTCACGGGCTACTCCTGGCAGTACTCAGAGGACCATATGTGGTGCCAAAGAGTCAAGGCAAGTCAGTCACACGTTAGGCAAATGCTCTCCCCACCCTAATATCTCTCTAATCCCAATTATATGTTCTCTTGAGAGATTAATGCCTTTATTTACAAAATAGGAAGCAACAGCAATTTGATAAACCGGCTTGATACAATCAAAACAGGACAAACACCACAGTGCTTCTAGTCTGGGGAATACCAACATCCTGCCATTAAGCTATGAATTATCTTCTATGATGAGGCTTGGCTCCCACTTAGCCTTCCTTTTGTCACTTCAGAAATCTTATCCATCCTGAAGTTTATTAAACTTCAGGATGAGTCATAGACCACATAAAATTAGTCAGATTATGGTCCTTTGGAAATTCTCTTCTTAAATGTCTCTGTGGAACACGAGCTACTTAATTGGGGCAAGTATTTAGATTTGTGTGGGCAACCTAAGTCATTTTCTACCAGTTTTAAAGATCACAGTCCCCCTGGGATGAAAATGTAATTTGGGTTCCTGGGATAGAGCACAGTGTGAGGCTGAGTCTGATCCCCAAGGCCACCCACCTGTGACTCAAGCATACGCCACCCCTCTGGCCCACTACAGCCAGGCAAGTGTGATCACCAGAAATGAAAAAAGGGAGAGTGCCCTAGCTGTGAGAGCCACTCTAGGGGAGCACAGATGTGAACACTAGTGAGTACCACAATCAAGTGTGTAATCAAGAGTGTGTGGGACCCCCATCATTGAAACAACAATAATGAAGAGAAGGAAGCGAGGTGGAGAAAATGCAATTTTCCTTATATTCCTGAGCGGGTGGAAAGAATTAATAAGCTTTAGTATTGGCCTGGGTGGTGTTCACCACTATTTCTTATTGACAGAGACCCATATAAGGATGCTGAAGCAAGAGACAAGGATTCAGGGATAGAGTGAGAATAAGCTCTGGGCACAGTGACCACTGTTCAAAGCATCCCAGCCCATAGGCAGGTGGTCACTGTGCTAGCCTAGGGGTTGGAGCTTAGATAAATGACCAGCAGTCACAAAAGGGTCTGAGGCTTCAAGATTCCTTCTAAGAGTAGAAAAATCTTCTGGGGGCTTCTGTTCTCATCCATCTAGGGTTGGGAGGGAGAAGATGTTGCACACATGAGGCTCGGATGGGGAAAGGGGTACTTTCAGGTTGCCCTGGAAGCAAGACCCCATGACAGAATGATGGATAAGCTTCCAAAATTGGGGTCAGCCGACCTAGATTTCATCTCTGGCTGCATAACCTATTGGCTACCTGACTTTTGTCAAGGAGCACTAACTACTCAGATATATAACCAATTCAATGACCGCTAGAAGGAAAAGGAAAAGGACCGTGGAAACAGTGAAGAAAAGGAGCAAAGATGGAACTAGATTAGTAGTGGGGAACATAACATAGTTCAGACAGAGAATGATGTCTGATTCACACCGAAACTAGCATGTTATAATGCAAAGCTACTAAAACGAAATTAGTGTGTGTGGAGGGATGGGGTTATATTGTTGTGACACCCCAAGATCCAGGACAAGGCAGATGAAAGTATAGGGAGCAGTCAGTCGTGGGTGGGGATACCTGACAGCCACACCCAGGTGGAGCCCCGCTCCAGGCAGCAATATCTGTAGAGGGGTCCACAAGCACCAAGTGGCAGATTCCCCACCCACCCTTCTTACACTGATCACAAATCCACGAGAAAACAAAGAAAGCAGACAACATTGGAGAGAAGCAGGCGGGGACTTCTTACGACCTGCAGGAAGGACCCCAAAAGCAAAAACAAAGTGTCCAAAGCAGACACATGGGGCCCCTCAGCCACCAGAGCTCCTGACCATCTCCCATAGTCCGACCCCACAAGCCAGTTTCCTACACCCCTCTTTCCTCCATGTTCTACAGACCCCTCCCATCCATGGAGCGGTCAAGCACCCTTCATCCTTAAGTCCGGGTTCAACTCATACACTGCCCCAGCTCTCATCTGCCCCTCGCATCCCCATCACTCTGGTGCCACCAAGACACCAAAGCATTTCTAGTTAAGTCACTCTTGTGGAAGTAATTGATTGCTCATCAGCCGGCTGTTTAATGGATGAAAACTTACAGGAGTGGGTCGTGGTGTGGGCCTGTAGAGTCAGACATCGAGGTGGTCTACACCAACGTTCTTCAACCTTTCTACACATCCATGCCCTGCCCCGTGTCTGGCCTTACCCAGTGATCCCCAAACACTGTCCTGCTGGTGCTATGTGACCTGGACTATCAACACCATGGCTTCTTGAACACCATCAGACTAACTGCTGGAAACTGAACTAAGCTGGTTTGATAGTTGTAAACTTTCCGACTATGGGTCACCTCTCAAGTCTGAGTCCCCTGGGAAAATGTGCAAAAGGGGTTTCTTCTCTTTCATTGTGTATTTAGAGGGGGGATGGAGTGGTACATACAGAAATGCTCAGAGCTTACTCTTGGCTCTGCACTCAGGGATCACTCCTGGCACAACTCAGGGGAACCATATGGAGAACTGGGGATTGAACCCAGGTCAGCCCATGCAAGGCAAGCACCTAATCTACTGTCCTCACTCTCAGGCCCCCAAGAGGTAATCTTCCTTTTTTGTTTTGTGTTTATTGTTTTGGGCCACAACCAGTGCTACTCAGCGGTTACTCCTGGTTCTGCACTCAAGACTTACTCCTGGTGGTGATGTTCAGGGGACCAATGGGATGCAGGGGCTTGAACCCGAGTTGGTAGAGTGCAAGGCAAATGCCCTTCCTGCTGTTCTATTGCTTCGGCATCCCAAGAGGTGATCTCTTGACACTATTTGTCCAATTTCAGAGCTCTGAGTCTTTGGGATCCAGCCCTCTGCATGCAGAGGGGGGGACCATGAGGATGAGGTCCCTGGTCCTCCTCCCCAGTAAGGGTTCAGCCACAGCAGACAGGCTCTTTCAGGAACTCTAACCAGGGGGAAAAGATCTGAAGGCCTTAGACTTCAAGGGCCTGGGGGAGAAAACGGCTTTTCCTCACAGGGGAGTCTTGGGCCAGAACCAGGAGTCTCTGCCCTCCCTACCCTCTCCTGCTTCCCAGCCTCCCTGTGGCCCCTCCCAAGCCCCCGTTACCTGGATCCCCTCTGCATCCTTTCAGGCCTGTTGCTCCTGGACTCCCGGGACTCCCTCGAGGTCCTGGACAGGAGATGTCACAGAGGCATAAGGACCGGGCTCCCCACCCCCATGGGACCTCACCCCCCACTCCTGTGGGATAGAGGAACCCACTTACCTATCAGCCCCTGAGGGCCAGTGCTGCCAGGGTTCCCCTTGGGGCCTGGAGATCCTGTTGCTCCTTGAGAACCTGGAGGACCCCTGGGTCCGGGTTCCCCTGAAATTCACAATGACAAGGCTGGGGTGGTGGCAGGGGAGATGGGGGCCTCCCCCCTCCCCCATGTACCGTGTTTTCTAACACCTTGTCTATTCCTGGGCAGAAGATTTAACCTCTCTCTCTCTCTCTCTCTCTCTCTCTCTCTCTCCTCTTTTCTCTCTCTTCTCTTTCTCTCTCCTCTCTCTCTCTTTCTTACACACACACACACACACACACACACACACTCTCACACTCACTCTCTTCCCATGAGTGGGAGAAGAAAGTGGCAGACTCCGCAATGGATGACTTTGTTCCCTGCAGCAGCGTGGGACTAGTGTATTACTGGGAACTGTGGTCTGTGCTTATCAACTCCACAGCCCACAGGCGACAGGTTGGGACAATATCCTCAAGAGGAAAACTCAACCAAGCAGGCAACTCTGTTCCTCTCAGAAGTGGCCAGGTGGTAAGAACCCCCAGATGTCCTGGCCTAATACTACATGAGATAAAAGACAGTGGGCATGCATTGGCCATGACCTTGCCCAAGGACAGTTGAACTGGCATCATGTCCAGATTCCCACAGTTTCTACCTTGATCTCCTTTGAGTCCTTTAGCTCCAGGGACACCTGAAATGAAGAAGAGGGTTTTATTTTTTCAGGGTTATTTTCCCCTTAGCTTAGCCTCCCAGAAATAAAACAAACCAATGAACAGGTTGGTGGAATTGATCATGTAGCCTCTTACCTGGTAAACCCTGACTTCCTAAGTCACCTTTACTCCCCTGGGGCCCGGGGCGTCCCATGGCCCCCAAGTCTCCTTTCTGGCCCATGTCCCCTTTGCTTCCTGTAAAAACAAAGAGTCAAGGTCAAACACAGCTTCTTGTCCCACTCACTCAGACTCCAAACTCAAGCTTCTTTAGCTTTGCGTGGTGCCAAGAAATGTAAGACACAATTGCTGGGATGTGACATAAACTCAGGAGAAATGGGTAAGGTGGCCCAGTCATGTAATGGGCAGCAGAGGGCCTGGAGATTACGTCTCAGGACACCGGCCTGTAGCCTGGTCCCCAGAGGAGGCACCACAACCCATGCTCAAGCTACACTTCTTTTTAGATTCTTTCCCTGAGGAATAAGATGTTCTTTTAGGGGGCTTACTCCTACCTCAGTGCTCAGGGATCACTCCTAGTAAAACTCTATGGGGTGCTGTGGATGGAGACTGGTTACGAATCAAGCGCCTTACCTGCTGTACGATCTCTCTGGCCCCTGTGGAATGAGTTTTTTAAAACCCCAATGTGAAATTCAAATATTCCAGGAAGCACATCTCCCAGAAGTGCTGAGAAGAGCATGAATAGAGAGAAAATCATGGCCAGCCAGATTTCTGCCAGCAGTTCGGCCACAGATGTTTCTGGTACCCTGGGTTTTAAATTTTCCACCTGTCATCAGCACTGCAGGCTTGCCTCCGTCTGTCCTCTCCTCATCCTCTGCTCTTCTTTCCTGCTATTGCTTGATGCAGATGAATCGAGGGACCTTCCTCCAGGACCAGGGCTGGAAGCACTTTCCCAAGAGGTGGATTACTAGTTTGGGCTGAGCCCTGCCACTGAATTCGAAGATGTGCGCCTCCCTTTCTCCTCCCTCCACCCCCACGCCCAGCAGTCCGTTCCAGGCTGATTGGTATGGAATTTAGTTAAAAGAGTCCCTCCCCGGGCTGGTAGAGACTCCAAAGGACTTTGCATGTGAGATGCCCAGGTTCATTCCCCAGGTGCATGATCCCCCAAGCACCACTGGGAATAGCCCTGAGCATTGAGAGGGGGGTGACCCCCGAGCATCTCTGGGTATGACCCCAAAGCAACAACAGCAAAAGGCTTCCTACCATGATTTTCATTATATCAGACATCGACAAGCCCCAGAAGGCACTGAACTATGAAAAGTATGGTGAACTAGGAAATGGATGAGTTGTTTCAGAGCGGGGGCAAAGTCTCTTGTGGGGCAAGTCTTCCTGGATCTAGGCTTTGAGGGACTTTAGCGGCCAGGTGGGGGATTAGCATCTCCGAGAAGGTTTGGATTCTTAAGAAATACAATTTCTTCTTTGGGGGGTGGGGGGTGTAGGTTAGGTGTTTGAGCCGTGCCAGGCAGTGCTCAGGGATCACTTCTGGTAGAGCTCAGGGGGGCCATGTAGAGTGCCGGAGATCAAACCCAGATCAGCTACAGGCAAGGCGAGTGCTTTAACCCCTCTGCTATTTCTCTGGTCCCTAGGAATGAGTATTCCTAGGTGGAGGACAAAGTGACTCCAGGAAACTTGGTTATAGCTGAGGTTCATGCATCAGCCTTGATGCAAACAGCAGAGGAAGTGGCTCTTGCTCCATCCATGTTCGTTTCAGGAGAAAGGTTAATGACATGCCTTTCCCTCATGGCTCTAGGGCAGCCAGGATGGGTATCTCCGGCCTCTGCTCAGCTGCAGGAGGCATCTTCGTCACCCTCTGGACCCGTATTACTGTATTACTATCTGTATTACTCTGCCCCCTGTGTCTTTCTCAAGAAGGCACTGCAGGGAAGTATGGTGAGTGGGTGCCGGCTCTGGTACCAACTGCGGAATCACAGCGGACCCTGAGTTCACAGCTTCCTGATCACCGGGACATCTGCAGCATGTCCCAGTCTCATTCCTCCTCAGCTGGGACACAGAGCAGGAGCTTTGGGTTCCACGGGGCTGCCCTGCTTGGTTGGCAAGTCCCGAACCCGCGGCAGGGAGGGGAGCGCTCATGGTTTCAGGCAGGGAAGTATGGGAAGGACAGGGGTGGGCTCCAGTCATGATTTCAGAAGAACTGAAACTGCCACGTTTCCAGGCCTGGGCCAGGGCGTGGGTTCCTCTGAGGCTGTCGGGGAAGGAGGGAAATGGTTTGGCTCTGATCCCAGGGCTGCAGTGGGCTGGGCCTGTCTGTTCCCCAGGCTCTGAGCTTCTGTCTCCCCAAGAGAACTGAGTTGCGGCCTTTGGCACTGCTCTGAGATCACATGCATCTCATTGCTGCAAGGATCCCATCTCAATGTCACCCGGGAGGGTTCTCGGACCCCGAGTCCTTGCCCTAGTGGCAGACTGAACCCCAGCTCCACCTCCAAGGTGCAGGGCAAGCAGTTTTCCCACGGCACTTTCTCTCTGATCCCCATTCCTCAATTTTGTTATCTGCAAAACGGGGCTGGTCATGGCCACATGGGCTCAGCAAGACAGAATTCTGCTTCTGTTGCCAGAGCAACATGGCAGCAAGAACGATGCCTCCCTTCCATGTGGGGAACATGGGGACCCAGGCTAGGGTGTGAGTGCAGACTGGAGGTGCCTGCGATCCCCAGAGGAAGGTCCTTGGGAGGCAGTGGAGGAGAACGGGCAGAGCAGAACGGTACATGTGTGCAGGGCAGTTGGAGAGGGGCGGACTCGAGAGAGGAGGGGTTGGGGGTGAGAAATGTGGCATGGGAGGGGGCTGGGGGAGGTTCTCAACGGCAGGACTTTCCCTGGGGCTGGGCTTGGGGGTATAGAGGCTCTGGACAGCACCGTCCCTGCGTGACCTCCCGTGGCCTTCTCTGAGGGTCTGGGTGCAGGCCAGTTTCAGGTGGGGCTGGGGGTGGAGGAATGGTGGCACCATGTGAATGACCCTACATGGACCAAGTACTGCCAGAACACTGCGATGGGAGCATCTCACAGGGGCCCCGGAATGGGACACTTCAGGCTCAGGCTTGGTTCCTACTGAAGAAGGATGAAACGACATGAGTTTCTGGCTTGTTCTGTCAGCAGGCCTGTGTGGGGAGCTCCAGCTCATTCTTGTTCTCTCTGGGAGAAGAGGAAGGAAGGAGACCCACAGCTGCTCTGAGGCTGAGTGAATGATTCCAGGGGTGTGTGTGTGTGCTGCTGGGCACAGAATGAGCTCCGTGGGCACCCTTCAATTCAATGCCTTCCTCATATTAGTTCCTCGAAAGTGATCTTCCCTTTGAATGAGTTTCCCTTTGGCACAGGCAGGGTTTCCTCACTCCGCGGGGTATGCAACCGTGCCTGGTCTCTATCTGCTGCCCCCCGGTTTTCTGGAGAAACTCTCTATGGATGCAGCATGCAAGCCCAGCCCAACTCACCAGTTGCTCCCTTGAGTCCTGGAGGGCCTTGGGGTCCAGGGGGGCCTGGAAAGGGAAGAGAATTAGAGTATAGCCCAGACAAGGACAGAGAAGATCACAGGGCCAGAATACAAGGTCGGTATTTGTGGGCTTCATTGTAACCTGTCACCCACAGGCCCCCTTCTCAGCCAGCAGTTGAGGAGCTGCCGGGAGAAAGAGGCCCCTCCGGATTGGGGAGCTGCGAGGGACAGGAGCCCCGACATCCAAGAACTCATTTACAAGGCCACTGAGGGCAGAGGCCCAGCCAAACTCTGCACAGGGACAAAATAGAATGCAAAATTTTCCAAGGAGAGAGAAACCTGGTGGTGGAAAGAAAGGAAAAGACAACACCAGGCCGGAGAGAGAGCACAGCAGGTAAGGCGGTGGCAGACCCCAGTTAAAGCCCCAGCGCCACATAGGTCCCTGAGTACCACCGATACAGCTCCCTGAGCCCAGAGCCAGGGGTAAGTACCTGGGAACCCCTGGGTGTGGCCCAGAAACAGAAGAAAGAAAGAGAGAAAGAAAGAAAAAGAGAGAGAGAGAAGGAAGGAAGGAAGGAAGGAAGGAAGGAAGGAAGGAAGGAAGGGCAGAAAGAAAAGAAAAAGGAGAAAGGAAAAAGTAAGGAAGTAAAGAGAAAGAAAGTGAAGGAAAGAGGGGGAGGGTCTGAGAGGGAGAGAGAGGGAGGGAGGGAGGGAGGGAGGGAGAGAGGGAGGGAAGGAAGGGAAGGAAGAAAGGAGAGAAGGAGAGGAAGGAAGAAGGAAGAAGGAGAGGAAGTAGAGGGAGGGAGGGAGAGTGGGAGGGAGGGAGGGAGGATGGAAGGAAGGAAGGAAGGAAGGAAGGAAGGAAGGAAGGAAGGAAGGAAGGAAGGAAGGAAGGATGCACACTGCCAAGAGGCTGGAGACCAGCAGGCCAGAGATGAGTGTATAGCGCTGCCTTTTCTGCAGAGCTAAGCCCTGTCCCCAGCTGGGTGACCCTGTGTAAATCTCTTCAGAGTTTTGAGTCCCTGCCTTTTAAAAGAAATGGGCTTCTACCCAGGTCACGCACATTGTCCCAAGGTCCACACACAAGGCCCCAGGGAAGACACAGCAGGCTCTGGGTGAACAGGGCCTGTGTTTGCTGTACTTGGGCAGTTCTCTGCCTCCCTGGGATCTCACAAGATTGCAATGTTGGGGCAGGACTTCTGGCCCCTCTCAGTCTACTGGACCCGCTCACCTAAAGCCCACATGGGGGTAGAGAAGAAAATGGACATCAAGGTCAGGTCACAAATGGCAGGGAATGGAGGGACGTTCCATGAGTGTCCTCTCCTGGGGTGTGTGTGGGCAGGAGGGAGAGGCTGCCTCTAACCTGTTCTTAGACAGTAACATAAAGTGGGCCACATTTCAAAAATGATGAGACTAAGAGACAGAGAGGGGTTAAGGCCTTACACATGGCTAATCCGGTTCCATCCCCAGCACCATATAGGGTCCCCTGAACACCACTGGGAGTGATCCCTGAGTACAGAGCCAGGAGTAAGCCCTGAGCACTGCTGGGTGTAGCCTCCAAAACCCCCAAGCCAAAATAACAAAGAAAAATGGAAGCTAGGGGCAAAGCTTGTTTATACTCAGCATGAACAAGACAACGAGTTCAAAATCTGAAGCTACAAGCCCCACCCAGCACCCACAGCCCGAGTGCTGTCAGCCTTGTGAGTTGAACTCTGACACCCATGGCCTTGGACACCCCCCCCCCCGCGCATACACACACACACTCTGCCACATAGGGTCCCTCTAAAAACGGATGCGACCCAAGAGTCTGTCCTGTATTGGTTTTTGCATGCAAATACTCAGCCTGCTGAGCTACCTCTGGTCTTGGGCACATTGATTTTTTTTTTTTTTAGTGAGACATCATGAGGTACAGTTGTAGACTTACAAATTTTTGTGCTTGGGTTTCAATTATACAATGATCAAGTACCCAAGTACCCATCCCTCCACTAGTGCCCATTTCCCACCACCACGGATCCCAGTATCCCTTCCACCCCCCATCCCCCCCATCCCCCCTGCTTCTGCGGCAGGGCAAACATGATTGTCACCCATTGCCTCTTTTGCAAAGCACAACATCCAATAAGAGAGAGAGAACAAAAGGGCACATTGTTTTTTTGGTTTTTTTTTTTTTTGCTTTTGGGTCACACCTGGCGATGCACAGGGGTTACTTCTGGCTCTGCACTCAGGAGTTACTCCTGGCAGTGCTCAAGGGATCATATGGGATGCTGGGAATTGAACCCTGGTCGGCCGCGTGCAAGGCGAACGCCCTACCCGCTGTGCTATCTCTCCAGCCCCAGGGCACATTGATTTTTAAGGTGGAATTACAACCATACTATTGATGGGATATAACAGGAGCATGTTTAGGTGTGTGTGTGTGTGGTGGGGGGCACATGTGTACATGTGTGAGCACACCAACACAGAAAGAAAAGGCAGAAAGAAGGTTACAGACTTTGGGCTGGAGTGATAGCACAGCAGGTAGGGCATTTGCCTTGCACGCGGCAGACCCGGGTTCGATTCCCAGCGTCTCATATGGTCCCCCGAAAACCACCAGGAGTAATTCCTGAGTGCATGTGAGTGCATGAGCCAGGAGTAACCCCTGTGCATCCCTGGGTGTGACCCAAAAAAGCAAAAAAAAAAAAATGTTACAGGCTTGTGCTCAGAGAACACTTCCTATCATCAGATAGAATTTGTTCACCCCTGAATGTGATTCTTCTAGTCACTAAGTAGCTACTTGAATAGCAACTCAAGTATCACCATTGTTTTCCACATTGGGGGCGGGGGTCTCTGCGTTGCAGAAAAGTTTAGTAACTGGCCAGAAGCCACCCTGTAGACCTGTCTCAGACCTCAGGTTAGAACTGCCCCCTCGATCCCCCACCCCCATCCCGGGGGCCCCTTCCCACATCATTCTAGTTTTCTTTGACAGATGAGCCATGGGGCCCCTGAAATTACAGCCGGATGGGGTGCTAGTGGGAAGTGTCTGAAAATAGGTCCCTGGAAAAAACTTACAGGAGACCAAGGAGGGCATCGGAGCTTGTGGCCGAGAGCCCAGGGAGGGGAGAACTGAGCCCTGGGCTGGGCTGCCCAAGAAGGTGTGGAGGGAGGAGTGGGGAGGCCATTTCCTGGTTTTAGGCATGAGCAAGATTCAGATACTGGGAGCTGAATCATAGTCAGGGGACAGGGGGCACCAGTGAGATTATGGGGAGTCTGTGGAGACCAGTGAGAGGTCAGAAAGGATCCGGTGGCAAAGCCTAGAGAGGCACAGGCAAGTGGGGGCTTGGGGCGGCTTGTGGGGAGAGAGCAGGATTGGCCATAATAGGCATGAACTCACCTGGTGCTCCTCGTTCACCTTTGATCCGGAACATCTCTGCAAGGGAAAGAGAGTGGGCTGCAGGCGGAGGCTGGAGTACATACCCAGGCTTCCCAGCATGCTGTGGGAAGGCTGAGAAGCTTCCAGCAAATGGAGGTGGGAAAGGGATGGGAAGGATAACGGGGGCCAAATACTTGGCTGTTTTGCAGGAATGAGTCCTCGGAAAGAGCCAGAATTTTATTTAGTCCTCTCTCTTGGTCTACATATAAGAGATGTAGTTCCCCAGGGGTCACTGTGAAGCTCTGTGTGTTTCCACCTCACCTCAGAATGAGGTTCAAGTCCTCATGCTTCCCCAGAGGTCCTATCCTTCGCCCTTCATCACTGACACCCACTGCCTTGGTGCTCACCCTGTTCCCCACCCAGCCACTCAACAATACCTGATGGCACCTTACAGTGGTCCTAGGCATTGCCCCATCTTTCCTCTCTCAGAAACATTCTGGATTCATCTAGGGGCTTTGTGCTTCAAACCTGGCCTCACCCTGGGTGTTCCCATGCCTGCCTCTTGGAGGTGGGTGGGGTTTTTGTCCAAGGTGTCTGACCCCATCAGTTCCCAGAACCCTGTCTGCAGTGACCCCTGACACTGATTGTCTCACGCCCAGCCCATAAGGATGCCCACCACATATTTTGGTCTCTAGACCCCTAAACCAGGCCAGGGAAAGGATTCAAGCCCACAAGACCCCTTTGGTCACAAGCAAAAAGCCTCCCTTCCAGCCCTATCCTCCCCAGGGCAGTCCCACGCAGGAGGGGAGCAAAGGTCCAAACCTGGGTTCTGTGTGAAATTGTCCACCTGCTGCAGCATCTGCTCCTGCCGACTTTGCACCTGGAGGAGCTGGACCTGCAACACTTGAAGCCCAGAGGCCAGACGGCCCCATTTGTGGGGCCCAGTCAATTGCAGCAAGGACCCGTACGAGTTCTCCTTGGACGGGATCAAGAGCGCCTCGGCATCCAGTGTTCCATTGGGAAAGTCAGTCTCCAGGTCTGAGAGCCGCTCCTGCAGATTCATAACTGGGTACACCCCCCACCGCCCCCAGCCCCCTTGTTAGAATATAATCAGGAGCTTCGTTAGAAATAGAATCCTGAAACTGAGGTCCTCTGTGTGTGTGTGTGTGTGTGTGTGTGTGTGTGTGTGTGGTCCTGAACATGAGTTCAGATTTCCTGGGCTGTGAGGGCTGAGAGGGCGTTCACCCACCAGGCATGATTTTCCTGCTTGGCTCAAACACACACTCCGGCACCCAGGACCAGATTTCATTCTGCGGCTGTTCAGAAGCTTCATGCATGGTCTGGGCTAGACCACAGAACCATAAATATTATGGTCTGGGTCTCAACTACATGCTTTGTCATCTTCACAGGCGGGTGATATGTGTGTATGTGACAACTGGGTAACAGGAGAGTGATTCTTTTTTTTTTAATTTTTTTGTTTTTTGGGTCACACCTGGCAATGTACAGGGGATAATCTGCACTCAGGAGTTATTCCTGGCGGTGCTCTGGAACCATATGGGATGCTGGGAATCAAACCCCGGTCGGACGGTTGAAAGGTAAACTCTCTATCCCCTGTGCTATCACTCAAGCCCCAGGAAAGTGATTCTTAAGTGACTTCAATGTCTATGGATGGCATCACTCTGTGACCTTCAGTTCACACTGGAAGCACTTGGAGGGGAAAATCATGTAAGCACCTTGGTCAGCAAGGCCCTATTCTCCTCCTAGGATATGAGTCTGGGATATTAGACCCCATGTGGGTTTTAGACACATACAGGTTCACTGGTGAATGTGCATGTGCTATGTCTGTCTGTCTGTCTGTCTGTCTCTCTCTCTCCTTCTCTCTTTGTCTCTCTATTTCTCTGCTTCCCCCCCCCCCAACTTCTGTTTCATTTCCCCTACTTCTTTGTGTTGTTGTTTCCAGCCACAATTGTGTTCAGGGCTTTCTCCTGGCTCAGGGACCATAGTAGACGCTCCCTCTCCTGGCAGGGAGACCACAGGGATGCCAGGATCAAACCCGGGTCAACTGCTTGCAAAGCGAGCGCTCTTCCTGCCATCTTCTGTACTAGGGTCCTAGTCCTGTTTCCCCACTCTGACTCCAGCAGGCAGGCTGGTGGCCGGGACTCTCGCACCATCTGAGCCCTGTGCCACTAGGGCCTTGTTCATAGACTCACTCACTCTGGGAAGAAGCAGACAGAAGCAAGATGTCCTTACCTTTCTTCACCAGCATCCCAGCGGCCACCGTGAGCAGAATCAAGTAGGCGATGACAAGGGCCATGAAGCAGTTCAACCCATTTCTCTTCTTGGGCTTTGGATCTAAAACACAACCCGGTGAGAAAAGCTGCTACCCTACAGAGCAGTATAGTCCCAATCTGCATCCCAGTTCTTCTGTGAGCAAGAGGCTCTTGTCAGCAGGAAAGGCGCCAGAGGGAAGCCTCATTGCCCCCAAGTCTTGCCCCTGGTCCTTTTCCTTGCCACAGACTAGAAGTGTCCTTATTGGTCACCTGCATATGTTCCTGGATGAACCGGCCTCCTTCTGCATTCCCTGGATTGGGAAAGCAGATTCCTGAAACCAGATACAATGACAACTTTGTTCACTGCCCAAGAACCCCGTCAAGTTCTGGCCAGTGGGGATCTCATTAGGTTTTCAGTGAATCAATGAATAAATTAATATCCTTAAATTTCAAAGAAAAGTGAAGTGACAACTGCTTCCATTTAATAGCAATGAACAAGTTTAGGTTTTGGTTTTAGTTTGGGGGCCACACCCAGCTATGCTCAGGGCTTATTCTCAGCTCTGGCTCAAGGACCACTCCTAAGGAGCTTGGAGGACCATATGGGTATCAGGGATCAAACCCAGGTCAGCCACATTCATGGCAAATTTCCTATCCTCTGTACCATTGCTCCAGTTCCTGAACAAGTTTTTTTTTCTTTTTGGGTCATGCCCAGCGATGCACAGGGGTTACTCCTGGCTCTGCACTCAGAAATTACTCTTGGCAATGCTCGGGGGACCATATGGGATGCTGAGAATCAAACCCAGGTCAGCCGCTTGCAAGGCAAATTCCCTACCCACTGTGCTATTGCTCCAGCCCCCCAGAAAAAGTTTTGAAGGAGATGAAAAGTCTATTAGGTTACCAGATGAAGACATGGAATTGGTATTCAGTTCTCTGTTCTCTTTAGGTTTTTTTTCACACTAAAGTACTTTTTTTATTCCTTGGTCACATTTTTTTAAATTTATTTTTTTATTAATTTTTTTAATAGTGAGACATCATGAGGTACAGTTGCAGACTTACACATTTTTGTGCTTGGGCTTCAATTATACAATGATCAAATACCCATCCCTCTTAGGGTTTTTAAATGGGGGGTGGTGATTGGGCTACCCTCAGCAGTGATCAGGGCTTACTCCTGGCTCTGTGCTCAGGTATCACTCCTGGCAGTACTCAGGAAAATGTACAGTGCTGGGAATCAAAGCAAGGTTGGCCACATGCAAGATAAGCACTTTTCCCCTGTTCTATCTCTCCAGCTGTTTTGGTTTATATAATTATGAAAACAAAACAAATTTAATATAATTTGCTAAGCAATAGAGCAAGCCACACAAGGATTAATAATGTTTCCTCAAACCCCTAAGGTCCTTACCCTCAAGCCTCTTCCCATCCCCTTTATCCTCAGAAATTCACAAATGCATATACCCTGAGATAGATCTGCCTTTATCTTTTAATTTCACATGGCTAATGTAATAACAACAGATTTCATATAAAACAGCACCTTGCCTTTGCAATGGACTATTTTCCAGGGAACATTTCTCTAGTTTTCTTCTTAGTGAGAGACTGAATTATTCTAGTAGCTAACAAACCCTTAAAGACAAAAGTCATAATCCGTGTATCTTTCTCCCTTTTTCTGGGGGGGGGGGGTCACACCCGGTGATACACAGGGGTTACTCCTGCTGGCTCTGCACTCAGGAATTACTCCTGGCGGTGCCTGGGGAACCATATGGGATACTGGGAATAGAACCCAGGTCAGCCACATCCAAGGCAAACACCCTACCCGCTGTGCTATCGCTCCAGCCCCCTTGTCTAGTTCTTTCTAACTAGGATTATTAAGAAGAGCCTACAATAAATATTTTCCCGGGGCTCTGACCCAGTCTGTCTTTGATGATTTCTGTCTCCCTGTTTGGTGGCATCCTGTGGCAGGAAGGTCTCCCTACACCCCACAGGTAACCCCGCTTGCATTGCCTGGGCACCCACCCTGCACTAAGCATTGACCAGCATCATCTCAACTCCTTGTAGGGTTGCTGGAGTTTGATTGTGATCATGGCCTCCAAAGAGGATGTCTTGTGGGAAATGCCATTGAAATGAGCGCTAGGACTCATAGTCATAGAAAAGAAATCCCACAGGGGCAGCCAGGGAAAGGAGATAGGGCTTGTGAGCACTGGGCTTGGCTTTGCCTTAGGTGAAGGGGAGTCTTGTACTAGATGCGTCTGAACTGTGAGTTCTTTTCCATCACTGAGACTCCTGTGTTGTCCCATTAACCGTCCTTCCAGCCTTGTGCAAAACAATTTTCTTTCTGAAGCATGACCTAATGCAGGGTGGTCTAGGTATGGCTCTGGACGTTTTAAGGGGGTAGGGGGAACATATATTTTTGGTTATTTGGGATAATTTTTTAGTTAATAGCAAATGGCTATCCTCTGCTCAGTCTAGCAGAGAGAGCTCCCACCCTCAGTTATCCCATGGAACCCGATTCACACAAACTAGACAAGTCCGTGCCCTCAGGACAAACTACTCCCCACCTGGATAGCAGGTCCTGCTACCAGCTGATCTCTGAGAGCCAGGACTCCAGGCTAGAGCTCCATGAGACCCCAACAGTCAAGCCAGACCACTGTGGTTGGGCTCTTCCATCTTCAGCCAGCTTATATCTTTTCTGAATACCCAGCCCTCTCTCCTCCTGAAGGCATAACCACAACCTACTCATCCTTTGAGAATGCAGTCTTGCCTTTCCTGTTCTGTGAGACATTCTCTAGCTCCCTTGGACTGGATAAGGTTTACTTCTTCTTCCCCATGCTACTCTGCCATGGCACTGATCTCCCTGAAATACATCTATTTATGCCTTCATCTTCCCCCAGTAACCTTGAGCTGTATCGCAGCAGCAACATGATGTCAGGTATGCAAACTTGTGCTGATGACCGTAGGAAGGTGACAGGTAGTTGAATGGATGAGAATAACTGCAGATGTTGAGGTGCTGAGATTTGAATGTTTAGTTCAGTACTGCTGGTTTAGAAGTGTTTGAAAAATACTTCAGGCGTCCGTATGATTTATCATCATGATGAGGATGGAAAATAGACAGGGAAGAATCCAATTTAACACAAGATGATTCAACCACATAGACAACATAAAACCTGAGAAAATACAATTGAATGGATCAGAAAGATAAACGATGCTTCAGGCACATAAGAATTAAGAGGTCAGAGGTGGAAATTGGGATCATCAACCATAGGAACTAGCTAATATTTACAGAATTTTTTATGCAACAACAGAATAATACATATCCTTCCATACCACACAAACACACACACACACACACACACACACATACGCATGCACAAGATGAATAATGACCAAGAGAGACAATATCCAGAGTCACAAAACAAATCTCACCAAGATGTAAAATGTGAAGTAAATTTTCAAAGTTTTTTCTCATGATAGTGGAATCAAAATAGAAATCAATAGCAGATAAATAGTAGGAAAATCTACAAACTCTTAGACATTAAAAAATAAAGCAAAAATCCTTGGGCCGAGCTAGTACAGGGTTAATTATCCCTGCCCATGACCAACCCTGGTTCGATCCCGAAGCTCTCCGAGGAATAAACCCTGAGCACGGAGCCAAGGGTAGTAAGCCCGAAACACTATCTGGTGTGGCCCCAAGTCCCCCCCATTTAGCAAATAAGCACATTTTCTATTACTACATAAATCATGGGCTGGAGCGATAGCACAGCCGTAGAGCGTTTGCCTTGCATGCGGCCCACTGGAAGACACAGGTTCAATTCCTCCACCCCTCTCAGAGAGCCCGTCAAGCTACCGAGGGTATCTCACCCGCGCGGCAAAGCCTGGCAAGCTCCCCGTGATGTATTTGATATGCCAAACACAGTAACATCAAGTCTCACAATGGAGACGTTATTGGGCCCGCTTGAGCAGATGGATGAACAACGGAAGGACAGTGTTACAGTGCTACATAAATCACGAGGAGAATTTCATAGAAAATTTAAAATATAAATTTTCTATAATGTTTTAATAGAAAATTGAAACATAAATTTTCTTTAACATTTTACAATATATTCAATTACAATTTATTCAAAAAGGCATAAAAGATACTGTGTCTCTGGGCCAGGGCTGTTGGTGCGCTAAGATCCACGTTACAAAATTTTCAGCAGATTATATCTTGGTGAGGACCATTCTGAGACGGTGGGGGCAGGCTTGCGGTATGGCGGCAATTTTGGATTGTGGAAGCAAGTGGCTGCCGGGACTCTGCTTGGGCGGGCACAGGCCAACCCGCCCCCTCCAATTTACTCCAGACTGTTCAGCCATATGTGGGTCTGAGCTTAACTGTGACTTTTGATCTCTTTTGAGATTTATTTAGGGGTCTCTGAGGCAAGGCCAAGAGTAGAGCTCTCAGGGTGGCATTGGAGCTGGTTCATGGGGGTGACTTTCGGTTCTTCCATGTGTATTGGGAAGTGGGGGTAGAAGCCCATCCCAACTCTGAGTGAGCTTGTATAGCTGAGCTGGAGGTGGTTTCTGGGTGTGACTCCCACATATCTAACTTTTGGCCTTTTGATTTCTTGGTAAACTTGTTCCCAAGTTGTTGGGGTCTGGCCAAAGGCACAGCGGCAATTTTGGGGTATCAGGAAGCCTGAAGGCAACATCAGGCTACTGATGCACTCACCCCGCAGGTACAGGTTGACCTGTTGGCAGCACTATACCCCTGCCATTACAATTTTTAAAAGGTTTTGTCCTGTAACTCTTTTAAGAAGAATTAGCACCAAGTTCACATAATCTCTTCTACATAAGAAGAAGAGAACACCCTCATGTTTCATTTTACATGATTGGGTTACTCTGATATGTAGATCAGAAGAAACAGCAAAAAAGAGCAAAGTGAAGATCGATATTTATCATTAAATATGTCACAAAACTCATAAACAGAAAATAAAATAATCAGCAAATCATACTGAGCAATGTATGAAAAGAACATATATACCATGAATTTCAGTTATATCACAGCCGCACAACACATCATAAGATACTTCCTACCCATTTTCTATAATTACCACA